CTGTGGAGAGACACAACCACTGCCAGATCCTTACCCCAAAACAGAGAAAGAATGGATAAAACATTTCCTACCTTTCTTTCCTCCTGCCTCCAATTTCCTTTATCCTCCATTGTTTAAACCAATTAAGAAGAGCTCAGGTGATGTTTTCCAAAAAGGTCAGCTTCTGGGGTAAAGAACAGGGCAGAGGAGAGAGAAAAATAAATATGAGTAAATATGATGGTAGACAAAGAGAAAACCCAGTCTACCTGTTTTTCCCACCCCAGATTTACTCTTGCCCTTTGCTCAAATGAAGAGCAGCTCATCCTCTGCACATGAGAATCACAGAATCCTACCAAGCATCAAATTGCCTTGAGGTGATGTCAATTAGGGTATAGTCTAGAAACTAAATTATAATATTTATTTCCACCAGTAAACTTCATGCAAAGTAATAAGGAAAGATGGGCCAGGGAAGTTATAACCAGTTAACATTTTGTATGCAGAGCTACAATAATTCCTGACTCTACAGCTTGTCACTAAGTTAAAAATGAGAATCAAAGCAGCCTACTTTATTCAAGGATGTTTCTCTTGCCTTATGCACTACCCTGGTAAATCAGGATTTTTTTACACTTTAATTTTTGCATGGTCTGAAATTTAAGTGATCCTGACTTTATCAGGTTACTGCACTTATCTAATGAGCATTATTATTGTAGATGGGAAGAATAAGACAGGTCCAGTGAATCTCTGGGTGTCATGCACAATTCCCCTTCCCTTCATTGTATAGCTGTAACCCAATTTCCTCTCAGTGATTGGAATCAGTCATCCCAAATTAGAACCCAAATCTATCACTATAAGAAACCAAAATAATCAGGGGGCAATTTCAGCTTTCAATTCAATAGAACCATGGCTGTATCCTCAAGTGGTAGCATTTCTTTCGTTTGAACTAGGACTTCCAAAAATGATAAACCCAAGGTTGTAAAAGAGGTGTGCTGGATATTTTCCATTTGTCCTGTCAGACTCTGTCTAGAGGAGGCTTGCCTCTATAGACTGCTCCCACCCGTCTCCTTCTTTCTCTGACTTCCTGTCAATCCTCAACATTAAATCTATTCTGCCAGTAGAAAAGCCCTTAAAAATGTTTATAAGGGTTACATGTTTAAGTGACAACCTCTCACAAGATACATTCTCTTCCTGGAAACAGATCCAACAGTGATGGTTAATACCATTTCTAGAGAATAACAGTAAAACAGCTCATTAAAGTCTGTGGAGGCTTAGCAGGGCAGGGCGCAGAGCATGGATTCTCATGTACTGATAAAGTTCACTTGAAGCTTTTAAGTGAGACTGTCTGTCATTTTGCTTCCTCTGCCTTCCCTCAAAATCTGACGGCTCAGTCGCTGGGGTTTTGATTTGCCTCTTCTACCTGTCCCTTCCCTATGCCCAGTGTATAACACTGCAGGGCTAGGTGCTGGCGCGCGGGCCCTTTAAAGAAAGCGAGGGCTGCGCTGATTGGCTAAGGCTTGGCATCCACTGTCAAAGCTACTTAATCCGCGACGCGGAAACCTGGTTCTTGCCACGGACTAGGAGACCCGAAACCCGAAGGTCTCTACGGCCATTACCGCGAAAGGCTCCTCCACTACCCGCAGCCTAGTGATTGAGAGCCAGCCTTGCGGGAGCCGGCCGGCCACAGGTGGGTGGAGCTGCTGGGCCCCAGATGTGCAGGCCCGCGCAGCACTCTCTGGTGTGGGCCCGCCCTTGGCTTCCTCCCTGCTCCCAGTGGAGGTCTCCCACTCATTTCGGAAAGAATCCCTTCCTGTCAATAGGACTCCGGGCCTTTCCCGTAACCTTGTAATCAAATTGGGAAAGTATACAGAGCACTATCCACGGAAATTAGCACGCCATTCGGGAAACACCCAGATTACTGTCATCAGGGCGGGTGGAGTTAAATTAGGGAAACCCTCCGGAAGCTGTAGGTTAAGCTGGAATTTGCAGGGGAAGTGGACTAATGTGAACAGAACGCAAGGATTTACTGAAAATGATTGTACTAGGGGGAAGGGGTGTGTGTGTGTGTGAGGGTATATATGAGAATAGGGTGAGGAGTAATGAGAGGATATGGACACATATATAATACCTTAATCAATAAAAAAAAATCTTTTAAAAGAAAATGATTATAATTGCAACCAGTCATAAATGTTTAATACCTTAATCAATAAAAAATTTTTTTAAAAAGAAAATGATTGTAATTGCAACCAGTCATAAATGTAGGTTATGTGTAATCTGATCAGGAAGTGAGTCAGTGCAGAAATTTGGATGACAGAGGTCGTGAGTTATGGATTGTTTTTTTTTGTTTTTTTTTAAACAAGTAGAATTAAATGAATGTTCCTAGCAGTGCCTGTAAGTTGCAGCCCCACGTCTCCTCAGAAATATCCCTTCCCATTGTAATCTATAGCACAGCTGACACTGGGCTGGAGTATCGAAGAGCCCATTTTAAGGCCTCAGGAGTAATAAAAGGAAAGATGCAGTCATTAAGAACTCAAATCAACATTATCAGTCCTCTGAGAGACACTGGTGTCTAAATTTTAAGTATCAAAATTTTTTTCACCAATGGTATGAGTGTTGGAATTTTTGAAAGGCTTACCGTACTTATACAACTGAATGAACTCAGTTATTCCTATTGTGAGATCACTCTTGCTTATTTTCTTTCCCCACTTTTACTGACAAATAATTGACATCATTGTCTAAGATATACAGTATGATGGTTGGACTTACATATATTGTGAAATGATTACAACAACAGGTTCAGCTAATATCTATCATGTAGATATAAGAAGAAAGAAAAAAACGCACACACACACACACACACACACACACACAAAACTTTTCCTTCTTGTGATGAGAACTATTAGAATTTATTCTCTTAACTTTCCTATGTATCATACAGCAGTATGAATTATAGTCATCATTTTACTAATCTTTTGTGAGTCCAGCTGGTTTGGCTCAGTGGTTGAGTGTCAACCTATGAACCAGGCGGTCATGGTTCGATTCCCAGTCATAGCACATGCCAGGTTGTAGGTGATTCCCAGTATAGGGCTTGCAGGAGGCACCCAATCGATTATTCTCTCTCATTATTGATGTTACTATCTCTCTCTCCCTCTTCCATCCTCTCTGAAACCAACACACACACACACACACACACACACACACACACACACACACACACACTGATCTCTGAACGCATAAGAACCTGGCCACTCAGTGTATATCCTATATAATAAAAGGCTAAAATGCAAATTGTCCCCTCAACCAGGTGCTGGATCAGCAGGCAGGCCAGTCGGCCAACCACCCTGGCCCCACCCATGCATGAATTCATGCACTGGGCCTCAAATACACACAGTGTGTGTAAGAATAGGATTAGGTGACAAATGTTTTCTTTAGAAATGTTTGCAACATATGTAAAATTTCAATTATCCACTCCTATGTGCAGAAGAAAAGAAATGGCAAGTGACCTGAGCCAGCCTTTTTCTAGTGTCACTCATAGCCTTCTGCAAACTTTTATGGGAAAGAGACACCATGGAGACTGCCAAGATGGACAATACATTGCTTCTGCCTTCAGGCAACTTCTGGTCTGCTATTGGAGACCACTGACATGGGACTGTCAGAATTTGCACAAATGAGATAATTTATGCTAGATCTCCCACTCTCAAGGGGTGGCCTCCAATTCTGGTTACATGATGGAGGGGGGCAATGGCAGAGCAGGAGAGAAACCTCATGACCTCCCAGGCCTGTTCAGAGCCGTGCTTCTATTCTCTGGTGAAAAACTGGCCTCTTCCCAACACTAAAGCTGACTCTGGACCTATAGTTTCAGAGTGTGTCTATGGTCTTACCACAGGAAAGCTTCTGAAGTCTGGCTTGCAGTTCTCACTCACTGGATCCCTAATAGCAGAGATAACTCATTTCACCTGGAATGAAATGCTCTCTCTACATTCTTCTCCACAATTAGCCAGAACCTAAGATTTTCTGATAGGGATATGGAAAACAGAAGCTCCAATGGCTTCCACAGAATACTATGAATCCTGGTAGAAGCATTAAAACTGGCCCTCTGCTCAACAGCTCACTAAAGAGAATTGGCAGCATTGTTGAGAAGGGAAAAGAAATTGTAACATCCTTGAGTTTTGCATTCTGAAAGTAAAACAACTACTGAAGGTCTTCTGTACCTACCCAATTGGATTAAGAACAAAATATTAAGAGTTCCGGCCTCCCGAGAATTGACAGCCCAGATAAGATAGACAATACCATATATTCATTTAAAAACTAAGCTTTCCATGACATTTAATTATCCTTATGTTTTCCCCCTTGAGTAGCTTGAAGAAAACAAAGGTGAAACTTGAGGAGGATGGCCAAGGAATGTCAGGAGTGGGTGGCTGGAAACAGGGGATGTATAGGAGAGGGGCAGGGATTATAAGAAGAATATTGATATAGTGACTTTGAGATACTTAACACCTCCGAAAGCACAAATGCACAGAGCACAGACAAATCTGTCCTCAAAGTGCATGATGCATCTTCTGCATCACCCTTTCTCAGAAACAAAGATTATACCATCCAACTGTACAGAAGGTAAAGGATAGATGGTATCCACTCTGACACACACACACACACACACACACACACACACACACACACACACACAAAACCAGAGAATTTTTTATGTATGTTTTTTTGTATCCAGGTCTTCAAGATTTACAGTGCAAAACAAAATCAGGAAAAATGGAGCCATATATTTACAGAGCATAAGATTTTGGAAGTCGTCTAGTTCAATTAGCTGGTCTTAGTGACAACCAAGCCAGTTAAGTCTGCCCACAATCAGACAGTTAGTTGGGAGCAAGGACTAGAATTCACACTGTGTTCCCAGGTTGGAGTTTTTTTTTTCTTACATTGTTATAAGTTCACAATATTCCAAGGCACAGCACATGAGGGATGCGTGAATAATATATTGTTTTTAATCTCTTTGCTCTTTTTATATTTAGGTCAAGATGGGGTTTATATTTTCAAAATCTATGAACGAAAACATGAAAAACCAACAGGAATTCATGCTTGCGAATGCTCGGCTTCAGGTACTTTTAAAATAATTAAGCTTTTATATTGTTACTAGAGGCCCCGTGCACAAAATCATGCACACTGAAAGGAAATTAAAAGATTTTAATATCATTATTCACTCTTTCTCTATAATAGAAGTGTGCACTTGATAGACAATAACAGATGAAAACACATGCATGTGATTAGCAACAGTAAGAGCTATATATATATATATATATATATATATATATATATATATATATATAGATTAACTTGTTTAATTAGACCTGCTTTCTGATTTAGCTAAACTTTTTCCAGCCCAGTGAAGCACCCCAACTTCCCTTTCAGGTAATTGTCATCAACATAGCAGTAAATATCAACACAAAGCAGATTATTATTGTAGATCATACAGGGAGAACAAAGGGTAAAATATTTAACTGCAGCAGTGTTTGACTCTATTCTGTGCAGCGAGAAAACCTGAAGTCATTTTCAAGTTCCATCATTTCTTACTTCTTTTCAGTCAGGTCAAGTTTCTAAGCTTTCTAAATCTCAATTTTTCCAGCTAATAAAAAGAAAATAGGATTCTACTAAGTCTCCTATATACCTATCCCAGAACTTCTGTGAGGATCAACAGAGATGAGGCATGTGAAAACGCTTCAGACATTCAGTTAAACTGTAAAATGTTTTCACCTGACTATAAAGCAAATCGTGTTCCTGGGCTGAAGAAACTCCAAGGAGGCTAGTTGCTAGGGAGAGCAAGGGGCTTTGCTACAAGACATCATTACCCGGTGCCCACAGCCACTGTTTCTCGGCTGGGCTGGGCTGTGGGCCACATTTTGCACCATGGGGTCTCGGCAGCGTTAGCTGCGATTTGGTGGGCTGTCACTCTGAGGTGGTGGTGTGGCCTGTGTCCCACTTAGGGGAAACCAACTGTTGCTTTGTGGGTGCCAGGTCTGTGGTGCCATTTATTGTTAAATGGCCTGTCGCTAGGGAGTGGAAGCTGGGTATTGCTACATGACATCATTAACCAGGGCCTATAGCCAGTTTCTGAACTGGGCTAGGTGGTGGGCCACATTTTGCACCATGGGATCTCAGCAGTATCAGCTGCTATGTGGTGAGCTGTCACTCTGGGGTGGTGGTGGGACCTGTGTTATTTTGTCAACAGTGCCATTTCTCTGTAATGCATCATGGCAGCTCCTGCATTGAATGTCTGCTACCTGGTAACCAGTCAAATGGTCAGAAACTTAGCATATTAGCCATATATATATATATATATATATATATATATATATATATATATATATATAATGGTTAAAGTTTCTAATATGTGCTCCAGAAGTATGTTCTCTTTGACCCCAAGGTAAAATGCTCTTGGGGCTCTATCCTCAAAGCCAAAATGAAATGGATTGTTAATTATCTAGTGAATGGGCTTTTAAAAATCTCCAATCCGGATATTTGTGTTAAAATGTCCATATCATAGCCCTGGCTGGTTTGGCTCAGTGATAGAGTATCAGCCCACAAACTGAAGGGTCCCGGGTTTGATTCTGGCCAAGGGCATGTATCTCAGTTGCAGGCAGGCTTTAGGCTGGATTCCCAGCCTCAGGTTAGGGGCAGGAAGCAGCCCATCAATATGTCTCTTTCATTCGATGTTTATCTCTGTCTCTTCCCCTCCATTCCACTCTCTCTAAAAATCAATGAAAAAATGTCCTCCAATGAGAATTAAAGGAAACAAAACATTTCTATACCATAGTAATACACAACTGCTTACAATGTAGGATAGGGAGAATGTTACCCTCTTCAAAGATATTTGTATCTTGATCCCCTGTGACTGTTTTTCCTTATATGGCAAAAGTACTCTGCAATGTGATTAAGAGCTTGAGATGGAGAAGATCCTGTATTATCTTGGATTATCTGAATGGGCACAATGTAATCACAAGGGTCCTTATAAGGGAAAGAGGGAGGCAGGTGGGCCAGAGGAGGGACCGGTGGGGGGTGTGAGGGGGGGAAAAGAGATTTGAAAATGCCTTCCTGCTGGCTTTGAAGATGGGGTAAAGGACTATGTATCAAGAAACACAACTTCTAGAAAAAGGAAAAGGCAAGGATATGGATTCTCCTCTGGAGCCTCCAGAAGCAGTGCAGTTCCACCTGCCCATTATAGACTGTTGACCTCCAGAACTGTAAGAAAATAAATTTGTGTTGTTTTAAACTACTAAGTTTGATAATTTGTGATAAACAATAGGACACTAATACAGAGTATGAAAACTTGAAACTAGCCAAGACCGGTTTGGCTCAATGGATAGAGCGTCGGCTTGGGGACTGAAAGGTCCCGGGTTCGATTCCGGTCAAGGGCATGTACCTTGGTTGCGGGCATATCCCCAGTAGGGGGTGTGCAAGAGGCAGCTGATCGATGACTCTCTCTCATCGATGTTTCTAACTCTCTATCTCTCTCCCTTCCTCTCTGTACAAAAATCAATAAAATATATATTTTTTAAAAATGTTGTATGTCAAAATCAAGTGTTAAAAGTTTGACTGGAATCATCTTCCTAAAATATCAAATTAAGATCTCTAGGCTTCTGTGGCTCGTTATGACTCCAAGAATAGAAAGTCCTACTCTGAGGCAGTATATAGAGTGGTTAAAAGTGAGGAATAAAGTCAGGCTGTCTAGTTTTGAATCCTATCCTTACCTCTGACTAACTTTAGATCTGTGCCTCTGTCTCCTAATCTGTAAGCTGGAGGTAATAGTATCCCTGCATAGGAGTTATTTAGAAGAGTAAAGATGATAGTGTATAAAAAGTGTGTAAACAAAATTAATGCTAGGAAATCTATGGCATGTCTATACAATAACAGTGAACTTACAGAAAGAGAGACTAAGAAAACAATCCCATTTACCATCGCACACACAAAAAAAATTAAGATACCTAGGAATAAACTTAACTAAAGAGGTAAAAGACCTTTACTCAGAAAACTACAAGACATTGAAAAAAGAGATAGAGGAAGACATAAGTAAATGGAAGAGCATACCATGTTAATCAATTGGTAGAATCAACATCATTAAAATGTCCACACTATCCAAAGCAATCTATAGATTCAATGCACTCTCCCTTAAAATACCAACAGCATATTTTACAGACCTAGAAAGAACTCTTAAAAAAATTCATCTGTAATAATAATAATTAAAAAAAAAGGACCCTGAATAGCCACAGCAATCCTAAGGAAGAAGAACAAAGTAGGAGGGATCTCAACACCAGATTTCAAGCTGTGTAACAAAGTCACTGTTCTCAAAACATCCTGGTACTGGCACAAGAATAGGCATATAGACCGATGGAATAGAATAGAGAACCCAGATATCGACCCAAACCACTATGCTCAATTAATATTTGACAAAGGAGGCATGAACATGCAATGGAGTCAAGACAATCTCTTCAATAAATGGTGCTTAGAAAATTGGACAGATACATGCAAAAAAATGAAACTAGACCACCAACTTACACCATACACAAAAATAAACTCAAAATGGATAAAGGATTTAAACATAAGACAGGAAATCATAAAAATACTAGAAGAATCCATAGGCAGAGAAATCTCAGACATATGCTGAAGCAATTTCTTCACTGATACCACTCCTAGGGTAATGGAAACTAAAGCGAAAATAAACAAATGGGACTACATCAAAATAAAAAGCTTTGCACAGCAAAAGAAACCATCAACAAAATAATAAGAAAGCCACTGTATGGGAAAGCATGATTTAATCTCCAACATCTACAGGGAACTTATACAACTTAAAAAAAGGAAAATAAGTTACTGTATTCTCGGGCATATAAGACGACCCCCTAATTTTACAGTTAAAACATAGGTTTAGGCCTATATTCGCTGAATAAGACTACCCCCCACTTCCGAGGCAACACCAGTTCTTTTGTTAATTGAGTTTTTAATGAATGACATTTTTCGAACATACCGTTAATATACTGTACATTGATACGATAAATGGAAGGTCTCTTCACAAATGGCAATGCCATGAACTTGACCAAGAAACAAGAAATCCAAAAGAGAACATTAACAATGATGGCATCATCTGAAAAGAAAATTACATGAAGAACTTGCAGAAAATGCTTGTTTGTGACTGACTGGGACGATAAGAGGTTTTTCTAGGCATTGTGAGCATTGTGAGCTTAAAATCTTTCAAAATCCTCATCATGTTCTTCTTCTGACATCATAAGTTCATCAATGACTTCTTGTGGTACATTTGTAAGACAGTCATCATATGGATCAAATTCTGAATCAGTTGGTGTGGCTTCAGCTTCGGCTTCCCCTTCATCTGGCCACAAGAAGTCATCCTCCATACTGTCCAAAGAATTTGATATGCCACACTTCTTGAAAGACCTGATTACTGTTTCTTCAGTAATATCATTCCAGGCTTTTATGACAAAGTTACACAAAACATCCAATTGTGGTGCACACATGTTTCCTCCTTTTGTGATTCGCCGCTAACTATCCACTCATTCCACTGTTCTCTAATGCGATCTTTAAATGGCTTGTTTAGGCACACATCCAGTGGCTGTACCAATGATGTCAATCCTCCAGGAATAACTGCCACATCTGTGTTTATTCTTGCTAGCCTGTTCTTTGTGCTGGTAGTTAAATGAGCCCTGAACATATCCCACATCAGTAGGCTACGTTCTTGACAAAGTCCACCTGGTCGCATACTCCATACATTATCAAGCCATAGCTTTACCACTTTTTCATTCACATGTACAAAAACTCCAACAGGGAACTTGATTTTCGGCATTGTTTTTCTTTTAAAAATAATCATTGGTCAGAGTTTGGCACCATCAGCTGTACATGCTAGTACCACTGTAAAACTGGACTTCTCATGTCCTATTGTTTTAATTAACACTGTTTTTGCACCTTTTGAATTAACAATTTTATTTCCAACCATATCGAAATTCATAGGAGTTTCATCCATATTTCCAATCTGACTTAATGCATAGCCATGTTTCTTGTGCTGTTGTATTACATATTGATGGAAAAGACTTACTTT